AGAGATAATTCTATAGAGAGAGCGATGAAACTTGGAGCAAAATTTTTTATGGGTACATCTAATTCGGCCGATGCTGAACTTTGGAAAGCATATTTGATGTGATAGAATGCTCAGAGGATAAAAAATTACTCATTGCTGTATTTTTATTGAAGGGAGGAGTTGCTGATTGGTGGATTTCGTTCCGAAGTCGGTATCCAGATCCAAGTATTGTCACCTGGACCATTTTCAAGGAAGCTTTCGGAAGACATATTATCCACCATTTTATCGTGATGCAAAATAAAATGAATTTTTAAGATTGGTGCAGGGGTCTATTTCTGTTGCTGAATATCATGTAAAGTTTGTTGAACTGTCTAAGTATGCAAGTGTTTTGGTAGCTGAAGAGAGAGATAGGTGTAAACGGTTCGAGCAAGGGTTGAGAGCAGAGATTCGGCCTATGGTTGGTTTGTTGGTTAAGGCAGCATTGAGGGTTGAGACAGCTATTCGTGAAGGAAGTAATCAAGGAGTACATGTGACCTTTCGAAGTGGTAGTAGTCAATCAGGAGCTTTAGGAGAAAGGTTCAAGAAGAACAAAAAAGGATATTGGCCAGGTGTCACTAAATCTGGCAGTTTTAAATCTAAGTCTGGGAGTTCTAGCTCTAGTCAGGGATCAAGACATAGTCAGAGTTTTGGACAGCAGTCAGTGGGAAGGCATTTTAATGTGTAGGGTCCTTCACAGAGAATTCAAGGAGCGAGGCAGAGTGAGGCTTCTGATTATCGGAGCTTTCCACAGTGCCAGTCTTGTGGGAAGTTTCATCCAGGCGAGTGTCTTCGAGGGGTTGGGGTTTGTTATAAGTGTGGTCAGATGGGACACATAAGGAAAGATTGTCCAGCCAGATCTCAGCAGATTGGATAATCCCAAATAGTATCTCCTCAGCCAGGGATCGGTATGACTAGACAGAACAGGGATCAAAGAACTCCATCAGTAGGGTCGATGGGGGCCACACAATCTAATGTTGCTAGGGGTAGTGCTTCTAGACAGGGAGTCCAGGCAGGTCGATCCAGGACTCAGGGCAAGGTGTTTGCTATAACACAGCAGGAGGCAGAGGAGTCACCAGATGTGGTAGTGGCCACGTATGTTATCTATTTTTGGTAGAAATGCTCATTCTTTAATTGATTCGGGTGCTACGCATTCCTTTATTTCTCACACACTTGCTAGCTATGCTAATAAAATGTCAGAGCCTTTAGATAATGAATTGGTAGTAATGACTCCAGTAGGGGACTCACTTTTAGCAAATCGTGTATATAAAGATTGTGGGATTAGAGTGAACAATCATAAGTTGAAAGCAGATTTAATTCATCTTGACATTCATGATTTTGATGTTATTTTGGGGATGAATTTTCTATCTAATCACCGGCTTCAGTTGATTGTTTTCGCAAGGAAGTGGTATTTAGAAGCCCAAGGGAGCTTGAAATTGTTCTCATTGGAGAGCGCAAAATTTTGCTATCTTGTGTAATATCTGTCCTGGATGCTCACGGAATGCTAAAAAAGGGCTGTGATGCATATTTGGCCCATGTAATTGATATTCAGATTACAAAGCTAGCTATTGACGATATATCAGTTGTGCGAGATTTTCCTGATGTCTTTCCAAAAGACCTTCCGGGATTACCCCCAAACAGGGAGATAGAATTCTGTATTGATTTGATTCCCGGGATAGCACCTATTTCACAGGCACCTAACAGAATGGCTCCAGCAGAGCTAAAGGAATTGAAAATTCAGATGCAGGATTTAGTTGATAAGGGTTTCATTAGACCCAGTGTATCTCCATGGGGAGCTCCATTCTTATTTGTGAAGAAGAAAGATGACACAATGAGATTGTGTATTGACTACAGACAGTTGAATAAAGTGACAGTCTGCAACAAGTATCCATTGCCTCGCATTGATGATTTGTTAGACCAACTTAGAGGTGCCTTAGTAATTTCAAAGATTGATTTACGTTCAGGTTATCATCAGCTCAGAATTAGAAATGTTGATGTACCAAAGACTGCTTTTCGGTCTCGGTATGGTCATTATGAATTTTTGGTGATGCCGTTTGGATTAACTAATGCCCCAACTGCATTTATGGATTTGATGAATAGGGTGCTTCACCCATATTTAGATAAATTTGTGATTGTTTTTATTGATGATATATTGGCTTATTCTCACAGTCGTGATGAGCATGCTGAACATTTGAAGATTATCTTGCAGACTTTGCGAGATAAGCAGTTGTACACTAAATTTAGTAAATGTAAATTTTGGTTGGATAAAGTTGTGTTTCTGGGTCATGTTATCTCAGCAGAAGGCATTTATGTCGATCCTCATAAAATCGAGACAGTTATGAGATGGGAATGCCCTACTAATGTTACAGAAGTACGGAGTTTCCTTGGACTAGCAGGTTAATATCGTCGATTTGTAGAGAATTTCTCCAAAATTGCTCTTCCTCTAACTAATTTGACTCGAAAGAACACCAAATTTGTGTGGAATGAGGAATGTGAGAAGAGTTTTTTAGAGTTGAAGAAAAGGTTGACTTCTGCTCCTATACTTACTCTTCCATCTCTGGGTGAAGAGTTTGTGATTTATAGTGATGCTTCAAGCTAAGGATTGGGTTGTGTTCTAATGCAAAATGAGAAAGTTGTAGCTTATGCTTCAAGAGAATTGAAGAAGCATGAGTTAAATTACCCAACTCATGATTTGGAGTTAGCTGCAATAGTGTTGGCATTGAAGATTTGGAGGTATTAACTTTATGGTGAGAAATGTCAAATATTTACTAATCACAAAAGTTTGAAGTATATTTTTTATCAGAAAGAACTAAATCTGAGGCAGAGAAGATGGTTGGAGTTGATAAAGGATTATGATTGTAAGATTGACTACCATCCGGGGAAAACATTGTAGTTGCAGATGCTCTCAGTAGAAAGACAAGTTCATTCTCTCCATCAAGTACAGTTTATGCTTCTTTGATTTGTGAATTCAAGAAATTGCGTGCTCATTTGTCAGCTACTACTTCAGGTGCTGTATTAGCTCATTTTCATGTGAGGCCTACTTTGATTGATAAGGTTAGAGAAGCTCAATCTCAAGACCAGACATTGAGAATATTGAAAGCAGAAGTTAGTACTGGGTTAAGAACGGATTATGTGATTAGAGATGATGGGGCGCTGGCTATGGGTAATAGATTATGTGTTCCAAATATTCCAGAATTGAAGAAAGAGATTTTGGAAGAAGCCCACAATTCTGCTTATGCTATGCATCCAGGCAGTATTAAAATGTATCATACATTGAAAGATCATTATTGGTGGCTTGGTATGAAGAGAGAGATAGCATATTTTGTATCCAAATGTCTTATATGTCAGCAGGTAAAGCCAGTTCGTCAGAAAACAGTAGGACTTTTACAGCCATTGCCTATTTTAGAGTGGAAATGGGAGCACATTACTATGGACTTTTTATTCGGTCTTCCTTGTACTCAAAATGGTCATGATGGAGTTTGGGTGATTGTAGATCGTTTGACCAAAACTGCCAAGTTCTTACTGATCAAAGCCACTTATATTTTAAATAAGTTGGCAAAGTTGTATGTGGATGGGATAGTGAGCTCATATGGTGTTCCATTATCCATTGTGTCTGATAGAGACCCTTGTTTTACATCTAAATTTTAGCCCAATTTGCAGGAAGCCGTGGGTACTAAACTACATTTCAGTGTAGCTTTTCATCCTCAGACAGATGGCCAGTCAGAGAGGACCATACAGACTCTTGAGGATATGTTGAGAGCTTGTGTTTTAGAGCTCAAGTGTAGCTGGGATACTCATTTGTCATTGATGGAGTTTGCTTACAATAACAGCTACCACTCTAGTATAGAAATGACTCATTTTGAAGCTTTATATGGTCGGAAGTGCAAGACACCAGTTTGTTGGGATGAAGCTGGTAAGAGGAAGTTAGAAGGCCCGAAATTGGTTCAGATGACATCCGAAAATGTGAAATTGATTAAGGAAAAGTTGAGAGCAGCACATGATAGACAGAAAAGTTATGCGGTTAAGTACAGGAAAGACTTTGAATTTGTAGTAGGAGATAAAGTTTTTCTTAAATTATCTCCTTGGAAAGGGGTGTTGAGATTTGGCAAGCGAGAAAAGTTGAGTCCAAGATATATTGGACCCTATGAGATTATTGAGCGGATTGGTCCAGTTGCATATCGATTAGATCTGCCCGATGAATTATCCCGGATTCATGATGTTTTTCATGTTTCCATGCTTCGCAAGTACATTGCTTATCCTTCTTATGTTCTGGAGTCTCAGCCAATTCAGTTGAAGGAGAATTTGACTTATATAGTAGAGCTAGTGAAAATCTTAGACAAGAAATTGCAAACTCAACGAAACCAGATAGTTTCACTTGTTAAAGTACTTTGGCAGAATCAGATAGTAGAAGAGGCTACGTGGGAGAATGAGGTTCAGATGCGTGCTCAATATCCTCACTTATTCATTACCCAGTCAGTTGCCAATTGAATTTCGAGGACGAAATTCTTTTAAGGAGGTAAGATTGTTACAACCCACATTATTTAGTCAAAAGTCAATAGTTGAATTTTCAAAGTCAAAGTCACATAGGGACTTAAATGAAATAAACGACTTTATCGGGACTTGACTTGACTAAAATATTTTATTGGGGTTTATTCTCCAATTGGCAATATGTGAGGGTTAAATTGGATACAATTTAAAATTGGAAATTTACTTATATATTTTTGGAAGTTTAGGATTAAATGTGATATAAAAATGGAGTTGGAGGACTTTCCTTGCCATTTTTGAGTAAGTGGAATTTATTTTCAACCTTTGACCACCTTTTTCTCTCAAATACACACACCAACACCTACAAAAAAAGGGCAGAGAAGAAGAAATCGGCAGAAAAGAGAAGAGGAAAGAAAAAGGGAAAGAAAGGGAAGAAAAAGAAGGAGAAAAAGGAAAAAGGAAAAAGGAAGAAGAAGAAGAAAGGAAAGAGGTAGTTCAAGGTTTATTTCCATTTTTCCTTTCTCTTTATTTTCTTCAAGAGGTAGATAAATGTTATGTTAAAACTCTAGGATTTTATTTTGGCTCGAAATTTTCAAATTTGTTGAGATGAATACTACTTGGAGCTCAAGTTATTGATTCTTGAATTTCTATCTACATTAAGGTAAGGAGATGTCAATTTTTTTGGGGAAATCCTAGAATTCGATTTGAGATTTTGATTAATTAATTGTGGAAATAATTATATAAATGGAATATTTCACTTGGGAGTTGATTTTATGGAACAAAATGTATATTAAATGGGTGGAATTGTGGTTACTAGTTTCACTAGATTGGAGAATAAAATTAGTTTTAAATTTGGGAAGAAGGTTTTGTTGATAAATTAGTTATTAATCAAGGGATTATAAATGTGATTAGCTCCAATTAATAAAGGAAAATTTGAGAATTTATTCAAGTGTCAAGAGAATTTAAATTAAGTTCTATAATTAGATATTAAGGTTTCTTGATTAGATAGAGGATAAATTGGTTATTAATATCGTATTTCAGGTGGTGACGAGGAAATTGGAAACGTTTATCAGGTAATCTAGCTTGTAGCTCCTATCTAGTGAGTAGATAAAACTTTTTTTAAAAATAAGTCTTCTTTAAATTTTAAAGTTATTTATTTTATAAAGTTGACTTTATAGCATGATTTTCAGAATAAAATGGATTTTATTATCAATCGCTTTTAAAGTTAAATTCAGTTTAGTTAAATTATTTTAGTAGCATGTATTATATTCTTATTACATGTTTCAGTATAGTTAAAGTTATTTCTAAAAGCCACCCGAAAGTACCCAGGTGATTTTACCCCAATTTGCACTGATGTGAATGTGTTTCCACAATGTATGACTAGTTACAGTGATTTTACCCGCTCTGCACTATTGTGAATGTATTTCCATAGTGTATGACCAGATTATCAGAGGTCTTTGGGACCCACTCTCGTACACACATAGGCTTTGGGCCGTGTACTAGGGTGATTAGCCTTTGGGGCAGCTCTGCGTACGTATGACCAGATTATCAGATTTGAATGACTTTGCTTTGTACATCGAGATTACTTTGTACATGAGTAAGGCTATTCAATAGATACTCTTTTTGGTGTTATTTTTTAGTATTTATTCAGTTCTCAAATTTTAGATCATGGAATTCAGTTAATTCAGTTTTCAAAATTAAGCTTTCAGCTTATAATATTGAGCAGCAGCAATATTTCATAGATTTTCATGAATATCAGATTTTTTATATTTGTTATACCTTACAGATACTTATCTAGAATTTAGAACAAAGAATTTTATAATGTAATCATGTTTAGTTTTTAAAGGCATTACTAGATTCAGAAATTCTCAAGGATTTAATAAAGTTAATTTTTTTTTATAGAAAATATGCATAAATGGAAAAAGTTTACTTATTTGCAAATCACCCACTCACTGAGTTACGAACTCATATTTTTGTCATGTTTTTTCTATCAGGAGACCGTTGATTTTGAGATACTTGGAAAAACCTGCTGAAGCGAAAGAGACCTTTCATAGTATGTAATGAATAGTTGGGGGACTCATGTTTATTAAGTACTTTGTCTAATATTTGGGGTGTCATGCACTTTGTAGAAGAGTTTGTAATTGATGTAATGCTTGCATGTAGACTTGATGTTGTTGTAGATGCACTCAGTCGAATTTTGTTATATTTTGTTTTAGTTGTGGTGGTATTAGTGGAAGTGGTGGTTTCCAAAACTTTTGGTTTGAATGTCTATTTGAGGTTTTGATGATTTTTCAGGTTGGTTTTGTCTATTTTTAAGGGGAAATTCTGTCAAAATTTTCATAGAAATATAGCACAGTCAAATATGTCAAGTTCGCCTTGGCGGTGGGTCCAACATTTAGCTGGCATCTACCACCGCCGCACGACACGTGTCAAGTCAATTAGGTTGAGTCAGGACGGGTCGTGTCATATAATCATCTCTTTTTGTTACTTTATATTCAAATATGATAATGGATTAGAATAATTCAATTTATAATTTATTTTTAAAGAAGCGATGCTCTTCTTATCACATTATTATTTGTCAATGATTTCGTACACTTTCTGGATTTTGCATGAACAAAGAGTGTGAATATAATAATTATCATATGTAATATTTTTTGGTTCACCAATACATTTACCATTTTAGAATTTTTAAATGTTCACCAACAACCAATTCTTGGAATTGCATTAGAAAAATTTGGCATATAAAGGGTATTTTGATAAATTGTCGCATTAATTTGCTCATAAATAAGTGGACTCCCAAACAAAGCCGGTCTTGTGATTGTCGAGGCTTGAGGCGAATTCCATAAATTAGGCCCTCGGGCGAAATCAACTTGAATGCAAAATTCAAAGGTATATTGTGCAACCTATTGCTAAGTTAAAACTAATATTAAAACAACCATCAAATATATTATAGAAAATATTTATATTTTCATATTTAGGAGGCATAACGTATGAGTCTATATCTAATGTCCAACGATGAACCTAAAAAATAATTACAAAATATTTCAATCATCTCACAATTACAATTTTCAATATAGTTACTACATGCGCCTGTGCAATTGTTCATCATACAATAACTAATCATGAAGCTGATCAGGCCTCAATTAAAGCCAACAATGTTTCAAACATTTCTAATATTTTCAATAACAAGTTAGACCAAGCCATTGCTTACCTAAGAAGTGAAATTTTGACGAAAATTGTGGAATTACACCCTTGACAATTCCATTGTCGCAACACACAAGTCTGAATAAAAATTTATATAAAATCAAAGATTTATACACTACTTAAGATCCTTTTATATTTGTGATTTGACACAAAATTGATTGTGTTCTTTATTTCTAAATAGTTATTATGATAGTTTAACTTACACATAATCAAATTTAAGTAAAAGTAAATTTAGGGCATTGTCGCATTGTAAGAAGTTATCCATATCAATTGATTCAATTCCTTCAATTAGTAATAGATTTGCATATGATTTGATAATCATACATTTACAGAAGAAATTCATAAATGTGTCTTAACATGCCTCTGGTAAATACATATTTATGAACAAAACAATGGATAAAATATGGTTTGAACTTTGAAGTGAAGTAACAGATCATGGTATCCAATTGGTAAATGCATAAATGGTAATCACTAATTAAAAGAGCGATTCAAGCACCAAGCCTTGCAAATCCACCGTGGCCGGCACCTCTATTGGAGTCTCCACCCACAAATTGCCAAGATTTCTCCCATTATTTAATGTGTTAACCGATGCCAAACCCATTAGAGCAGTAAAGAGATGCTAAAAATGAATATTAATAAAACTTTAGAAACTAACATTATGAAAATAGATTTATTATTTTCATCCTCCGCACACGCCACTAAAGAACTAAGGCAACGCCAACCTAAATTGTTCACCACAATTTATTATTTTCGTTTAAGCATCAACCAGAATTGTTCGCCAGCAAACAATAATTTGTCTTTCCTAATATTAAGAAGGAAAAAGAACATAAAAAATAAAAATTCGAAGAATACATTGGCACCTTCGGACCTTCTTTCAACACTGCTTGAGCACTAAATAGTCCTTCCAATTCTGCCTCCTACGTCTTCCTCAGCTCCCTAATATCACCATTCAAGCTCTCCACGAGTTTATTTATAGCTTTTTTTTTAAAACCTCAGTTGGATCCTCCATTATCCTTCCCAAATCATAAGCACTCCCAGACTGAGTCCTTCTAGGCTTCTGATGTGTAGGTTATTGGATAAAAATTACCTCCCCTTCCCTTGTTTTCATTTTATGCAAAACCTTATACAGAATATACTTGACACTACAGTAAATTACGTCCCTTCCCTTCTACAGGCCTTCTAGGCTTCTTTTGTTTTGAGGGGAAAAAAAAATCCTGGACAAAATTGGGCCCCTTAAGGTCTTGGGCCTGAGGTGCAGGCCTCATATGCCTCGCCTCAGGCCCTAGTCTGCTCCCAAACATACGTTGATTCAATGTATTCTACTTTTAAGATGGTATCTTTTCTTCAAATTCATCCAAACAAACCCTAGTTAAGCATGTAAATTAAGAACAACCATTGTTCAGATACATGTGAAACTTTGTTCATTTTCCACTGCTTGTATGAATGTAAATTTTAGAGCCCTATATATCAATCTTCAAATTCCATAATCATCCCATGATCTCGTTACTCCAGAACAATCTAATGAGTAAAAGAAAAAACTAATGCAATTTGTAAATGAACAAAACTCAACCAACGCTTACCAATGCTAAAATCTTCCACTTTTATGTTATCCTTGTTATCAAATAGAATGGTCTAGATACATGGATTGCTAAGGATAAATCTCTTCCCGTGGAGATAGTATTAGCACAAACTAAACAAAGAAATATGCTCTATGCTCTATCTCTCTCGAGGAAATCATCATGCGAAATTCAGGCGAGAGAACTAGAATAAAATATAACATATAATCTTTATGTACTTATTAATTTGTTGATCAAAATATATAACGGATGTCAATATCTAAAGGTGGTTAAAATGGTATCATCGACGCAATACTATTGATCATTGTGAACGCATGTCAATTTGCGATTACTAATGACTATATCATTGATGATGGTATCCTACGATTATTGATGTTGCTACGTAGGAATTCCTGAGCATTAGGTGTAATTCAAATAAATTGCTTGATGGATCTTTGTACAATCAACTTATTTAGGTTTGATTCATTGGTGATATTTTTTGACTTCAACCCATGCAGGACCAGTGTAGTACACTTTTCATAGCATTGCCGAATAAATTTATGGGATGATAACAAATGAACGTACAACTGATTTACATCATGCGTCCTCAAGGTGGATGGTGAATCTTTTTCCTAGTCAATGGCTAAGATTAGCCTGTAGAACTCTTTAAAAATGGGAACATTCTAGTAACTTTTATAATTGGTCTACTTGCATCCCCTACTTAGAATAATATATAATGCAAAGAATTTCGTCAAGTCTTCTTACTATTCTAGGATGTTCTTTTATGGCTAAATTAAAGTTTTGCAAAGAAAATTTTGATTGTTAGAGTTAGAAAAGCTATTTAGAATGAAATTTTTAAAATTTTGGGGTTCTATCTGAATATGGTATTAATTTTTAAACGAGCGCCTCACTTGCCTAGAGGTTTAACCATTTTTGAAAGTTGATAGTATCGTACTATATTTAGATGCTTCATGTTCGATACTGCTTGAAGGGCATTTCAAGTGTGTAACTAGCCAAGCTCAGACTACCTAACAAGTCAATGATGCTTAACAATTTTTATGTGTCCGTTGCACATAATGGTCTTTGTTGTTGGCACGTAACAACTTTAGAAATTCAATGCCCAATAAATTTGAAGTTGATTACAGGAAAAGGAGAGGGTTGAAATGCAAATCATAGCACTTACACATAGAGGTGCTATTTTAATATGTGAATTAAGAAGACTAATGTTTGTTTTAAATGGGGGGTTATGCACATCTAGAATAACCGGAATATTCATGAATTTATCAGTGTGTAGGTTGTTATGGTTATCATACACATGACTTGAGATGCTTACTGACCTAAATTATGATTTGTATATAAAGGACTTGATGAGTGCAAGGCTATAAGTATACTATTTATTCAGAATTGTTATATTATTATATGTTACACAATTTCTTATAATAAAAGGGAACTATTGACACATAAAAATTCAGCCCAAATCGAACGGCCCAAGGAGTGAAGCCCAATTGGAGAATCCCTAAATCGGATAGCCCAAAGAACGAAACCCAATCAAAACAAATCAAGACGAAGGCCCAAATAGGGAGGCCCAAGAACACCGTAACGCTATCGCCCAAGTTTGCAAGTCGCCCAGAATCTGAGCGAATGGAGTGCTATACAGTCGCCCAAAGCTGTTACTCTATTCTCGCCCAAACTTTCAAGTCGCCCAATGTCTTAACAAACATAAAACGTCGTGGTTATCAAGAAGTGCAGTTATCAAAGCAGTTATTAAAGTAGCTCTATCACGTTCCACGATTCAAAGAATTCAATCGAAAGCGATTGAACGATGAAGAGTAATGGTAGCAGTTAAAAAAGGCAGTTTTCATGACAAAGTTGGCCATTATGAGGAAAGTGAGCAGTTATAGGACGATCAAACGGTTTTTAGGCGGTTGATCACAAAGAGATCGTCTGTGAAGTATAAAGGGGAGAAAAAAACATAGAGCAAAGGACCGAATCAAAA